ATCCGGACTTCCAACCAACCTCGTTAGGCTGAATATGGGTAAGTAATCTTAGAAATTGCTATAGAAATCTTAGAACCTGGTAATGAATACAAATGTCGGCTATCTCACACATACGGTCCATTTAGTAACCCTAATGTTAATCGTTTTTCCCATTAAACCTCTAATGCGCCAACTACGGTGGTCTTATGGGTTGACTTCGGTGATCTTACGGGTTAACTCCATAGATTGTGTGTTCAAACTTCAGAGACCATCTATGCCAACTCTTGGGGAAACTCCTGAGTGATGGTGCATCAAATATGATCATTCGCCAAGTATTTATGGACTTGAGCAGTGCTATGGGTCAGTCAGTTCTGCGTGTTAATCAGCTGAAAGTGGCCCATAATTGTGGGTGACTCATAATACTAAGGTGACTGCACCAAAGATTGGGTAGGATTGAGTCCTCTGAAGAAGTCACAAGCTTTAGAATCAACCAGCAATGGCTTGAAACACCGGAGATGGTCCATAAGACTTCTGGGCTGATCCTCATTTAAAGTTTAACGCAATTAACCCATGAAGCAGTGGTTCTAAAACTTTTGTCAACTGCGACCCACTTTGAATAATTTCATAAGCAAAATAACATGATCGAAAAATGACATTGAAATATGCAAAAAAAAAGTGCCACAAATCACAAAAATTTCCTCTATATGGTTATTTAAATGCCCTAAGACCCTGAAAGGCTCAGCTGTGGATTTGAGAAAATACCCCAAATCACCTCACCCATAAAAGTATGAGTTAGGCAAAGGAGTGCGTATTTGATTAGTATTGTCGCATTAATGGCCCTTCACTCAAATTCAACTTCGGTTCAATTTTCACCCTACTCTACTCTAGCGGAACTATCAATTAATCAAGCTTCATGTTGATTTAGTATAGCATCACTCTCACCACTAAAATGACACTTCTAAAATGCCAAAATCTGGATCAACAATAGAAAAGGGCCCATCAGCATTTGTAAACGAACCGTTCGAAAGCCCTTTCCGCATAAAGCAAAGGCCGCCCACGCAAACGAACACCATCATCGTGTAGGGTAAACTTTCCCCTATCCGATGATAGTGTTGGTTTGCGTGGGTGGCCTTCGCTTTGTGAGGAAAGGGCTTTAGAACGGTTTGTTTACAAATGCTGATGGGCCCTTTTCTATTGTTGATCCAGAAATGGTTGAACGCCCTAAAAACAATTAAGCAAAGTTTCACGCAAATCGGAGAAGGTCACATCAGATCGATTCTTCATTTGACGTGGAATTGCTCTAGTGTCAAAATGACGGGAAAGCTAACTTCATTCGAATGGAGATGTCGCTGGTGAATGCCAATGCACACTGGGGACAGAATCGAAACAATGTGTTAAATTCAATAACATCGGTGCTCGCTGGAATAAGAGACTAAAAAATAGTCATTCTTATAGAAAAAAGTCTCAGGAATCGATTGGAGTGGGTTTCATCTTGGGCACAATAGGGTAAGTTAGGGTTTTTCACAGTTTTGCCCTAAAATCTCTTATTTTGCATTATTTGAATGCTGTATCTCAAGATACCGATTATATAGACGGATGATTTCTTGGGCAAAGTTGTTCAGGAGATCAAGGACTGTTTGATGATGGACAGAACAATTCGGAATTCTACCGCTAGGCGGCGCTAGTGAGCATTCGAAGTGAATATGTTTGCGCTGCTGTATCTTAAGATCCTAACTATTTAGACGGATGATTTCTTCGGCAAAGTTGATCAGAAGGTCAAGGACTGTTGAATGATGGACAGAAAAATTCCGAATTCTTCCGCTAGGCGGCGCTAGTGAGCATTCGAAGTGTATATGTTTGTGCTGCTGTATCTCAAGATCCTGACTATTTAGACGGATAATTTCTTCGGCAAAGTTGATCAGGGGGTCAAGGACTGTTGGATGATGGACAGAACAATTTGGAATTCCTCCACCAGTTAGTGCTATCTATGATCTTCTCTGGCTATTACGTCCCAACTGTAACTTAACGCCTGCTCTCAACTTAGTGCTCTAGATGCACTTCCACAGTTGTTAATTGAAAGCTTTCCAACAGACGATTTTTACATGTGTATATTGTGTGGCAAGTACAATAATATACTATGCCCAGGGAAGTCGAGAAATTTTCCAATCTGAAATCCTAGACCAACCGGGATTCGAACCCAGTCACCTCCAGCATGGTTTGCTTTAAAGTCGCAGCACAGACAAACAGACATAACACATTGAATATTTTTCAATTTAAAACATCGTCACTAAAACACTACCGCCATCTGTTGAGTATACTGTGATGGGTAGTACGCTGAACAGATGGCGGTAGTGTGCAAACGTCAAACGCAAGGGTTATTGACTATGTGCGCCACAGGTGGCGGTGCTACCAACTAAAAATATTTAAATTGACCGTTAAATGCGTGTTCGATGAACAAATTGCCAGTGTTTTGTCTGTTTGTCTGTGGTCGCAGGCTCTACCGACCGACATAAACATATCGAATTCAAACGTAAATAATGTGCATGAAATGTTTAACCCTGTTTGGAGATGTTTTAATACAAAGGGCTTTGAATCAGTGAACTTGGATGAGAATTTGATCTGAACTAAAGGACAATTTGGAGAACCGTGAGTATCTTATACACCTCAAAATCAACTATAAACGAACAGCAGAAACTGTATAAACGTGTTTCGGAAAGTTTTTTCGGTGAGATCATCGTGCAGATTTTAATTGATCCAGTATATCAAATAATCTGATTTAAGAACCTAGAACTTTTAATGCACCTTAAATTGATGTTGTTTGGAGATGTTTAGTTGCTAAGGACCTTGTATCAGTTATGGTTGATCAGGTTAATCATTTGATCTGAGTTCAAGACAAATTGGAGAACCTTGATTATAAATCAAAATAAATCAAAAACGATCCGCAGAAACTTTATGAACATGTCTTTGTAGGTTTTGACGCTGATGACATCGTGCAGTTCATGGTTGAGCCAGCAGTTCAGGAGAACCTAGAACATCTCATACACCTTAAATTACAACGAAAATGATGTGCATTATAGTCATGGACCTGGGTGCATAAACTTGCAATGATTATAAAAATTTGCCAAAAAATTTTTCATTCTGCTAAAAAATGTCAAAATTAAGCGGAAAATATGAACCTCACTTTGGTTGTCAAATGTTCTTAACTACAGAATGCTTTGGATGACCTAGAACGTCACTTGAGCTTCTTATATACATCCAAATAGATCAAAAACGATGCGCAGTAAAACCTTGAACATGTTTGGGCAGGACATTATCAAAAAGTGATGACCAGGTCATAGAACTTGTTATCAATTTGATATTTTACTTTGCTCGGGATTATGATTACATAGATCGCTACGGAATAGTTTCAAAATTGGTCATACAATTCCGGAGATACGGCCGGAACAAGTTCTTAGTGTCTCAGGGAAAATAACCAGCTTATGAGTAAGTTCAAAACCCATCATGCAACACAATAAATTACATCAGAATTCGAAAACAAGTTCAATAGCAATGATATCTAGTTCCCTGAACCAGATTTGCTTAATCCGGATATGTTCCGGGTTGCACCGGGGAAGTGGCCAGATTTGACTTTTTTTAAATCAATCATGTGCCACATCAAAGTCATATTGCAATGTTTTAATTTTAACGTTATTCTAACAAAGACACCTAGATCAAACTTCATTAAACATTTCTGAAATAGCGTCGTCTTATTTTCTCCACCACTTTCAGGTGCAGATCGGAAAATTCAAACGTTCGGAAAACGCAAACACTGAGTTCCATTCTCTTCTTCAAGTTGATCGCCAGTTGTGTGCCCAAGAAAATGCTCACCGGTGAATCAAAAAGTCTTCCAAAACCACGGAATCGCCCGCTGCCCACTCGTTCAAAGTCCACTCCACTGCCCCACTTCGCTCGGACCAAGTACCAAATTAATTAGATAATATTTCCCCACGCCCACCCGTTCGACCGTAAAACTCTTCCAAGCAGTGCCATTTCCGCAGCCATTTCCCGTCAGCTGGCTGACAGGTGAAAGGTCGACCACTCAATTTAGAAAACGACCACTTTGAGCGTGGCGTAAATTCCGATCACGTAAAACACTTCGAGAGCTCCCCTGCCCCGCTGCTGCTGCCGATGGCAATAATCGAGAAAACCGCCAAATTGGTTCGATGCCATGCCATTATTTGCGGTTAGGTTGGACCCGGACGAGACGGATAGGGAAAAAAAAAAGAAAACTCACATGAAAATGTTATTGATGCCCTTGCCCCCTCCTCTCTCACTTTCTCACTAATCGACGCATTCAGGGGGGGTCGAATCGGCTAAGTCGGCAATAAACACATCATAACTTGGACTCTGTACCTAGCCGAATCCAGCTGACAGTGGCACCTGCTGTCGATTCATAAATCAATTTGTGAATGGACCTACGATTTCACCAACGCCAGTCAACAACGGCTGAGTTGGAAAAGGTGAGGAATTGTGGCTTTTGAAATATTGACCACCGAGGGACGTCGTCGTCGGCGGCTGCCAGTAATGGGATGCGAACGGAATATTGGAAGGTCAGCTTCGATTGATTGCGGTGAACCACCATAGGCTGAGGACCCAAAGAGTGATTGACGATATTACTGCGGTGAAGTTGCAGCTGGATGCGAGTGTGAACAATTCTGCTTTTAGAAACTTATTAAACGATGCCTCATAACTTCCGCCCATTACCTCGCGATTTAATAAACCCATTTCGGTTCTGATTCACCGGCCATAATCAGCTAAAAAAATCTCCTACCAACCGCGGCAGATTTAAAAAAAAAATCCAACTTCATTATTCGTAATTAAAAGAGTGCCACACTGCTTGTCCACAGTCCGCTGAAGCCGGGCAGATTAAGCACTCCATCAAATTTAAATGTTCCGGTCGAGCAACAAAGCTCCATAATGATCATAGTAATAATAATAATAACGGGTCGGCAGGTAGGTAGGAGCCCGTAGTAGCTACTTACCGAATTTACAGCGGCCATTTTGCTGTCCTATAATGATGGCGATGGTGATGGTGATGATGGGGATGGTAAAGATGCCGGTGCGGAGATCCAAGGTGTGGCAGAATGATGCAAGTTTGGGGATGCTGCCGTTTGCACAGGTCTGCTCCGTCTAGGGTAGGTCTGGTTGAATGTTCTGAAAGAAAGAAGAGAACAGTTGTCACTGTAGCAAATGGTAGAATTTAAAAATAAGGACGATTTTACGAGCAGCAATAGAGTATGGTAAATTGACCAATAGTGGACCCCCTAGTAAGAACAAAAAGTATTTGCGTGTGATTTTTTTTTCATTTAAATAACACAAATGTGATATTTTTTTAATTGGACGTCATTTTCAACATTTGTGCATGACACCTGTTTGAGAAAGAGATCGCTTTCTACGTAAATTGGGTTAATAAAACTGGTTTAAAAATGCAGTGCAGTTTCCTTATAATAGACCCCTTCTTCCTAAAGTAAACCCCTGTCCACTATACGTTCAATGGACCCGGATCCACTAAAGGAAACGTAAGCACTGAGGTGGACAATTTATGCAAACATGTTTATGGATTTAGAGTATGTTGTTATTTATTGTTTTCGAAGTATAGAACATACAACTTGGTGCCCAAGGAGATACCTTCATCAATTACGTCACGATTAAAAGGCCTAATTTCCCTCCCTTTTTCACGTATTTTTGTATGGATCTGTAATTATATCGTTTGAATCGTCACGATTTCTAAAATCCTCCCCCTTCCTTGCATGACATAATCAATGAGTGTTTCCAAGAGTGACGGTACAATTTGGGGGTTGATCATGATTTGTTTGTAACAAAATTCTCTTAATTCTATGTCTAGTAGGAGTTGAGCCGAATACTCGTGGCTTACTCGAGGTTAGAGGGGTACATTGTCGAAGGATAGGATCAGGGGAGGAGCTTGGGGTAAGGTTTCGTTGTCTCATCAGAGAGTTATCGCCAGTATGAATGGTAGTGCGGTTCTAGTTTCGTCTGGAGTTCGACCGGCTATGGTGGGTAACCAGTGGGTGACGATGAGACTCATCGAGACGGGGGCACAAGATAAACAAAAACTATTAAAGAGAGACAAAAGACAAAGGAATAAATTCTTATACTAGACATTTGAAGAAACACATAAACCGACTGCATATAGCAGATATCGCGAGTTCCCAACACGTTTCTGATAGAAACATAGGGTTGCCTTCCTTGGGCCTCGAGGGTATTAAAAAACCGCTCTCTGGCGGCGTAATTATCAGTACATTGCCAAACTGCGTGATCGATGTCATCGTAACCGTTTCCACACCGACAGATGTTGCTGTCCGCGAGGTTTATTCTATTGAGATGAGCATCTAGCGAGTAGTGGTTGGACATAAGTCTACTCATCACGCGAATGAAGTCACGACTTAAGTCCAAGCCTTTAAACCCCGCTCTTGAAGAAACATTAGTAATAATTGAATGTAACCACCGTCCAAGATTTCCAGTGTCCCAATCGGTTTGCCAACTCGAAAGGGTACTCTGACGCACTAAATGGTAAAATTCATCGTGTGAATTTTGCCTGTCATAAAATTCGCCTTCCTGCGCGCCCACCTTTGCGAGAGAGTCCGCCTTCTCATTGCCTGGGATTGAGCAATGTGAGGGGACCCATATAAAGGTAATCATATATGATCTCTTAAAACGGCGCCGGTGGTGTAGTGGTAAGCGTGATTACCTCTCACCCCAGCAGGCCTGGGTTCAATCCCAGTCGGCGCCGCCAGGATGTTCTGAGGCATAACATCTCTGATCACGCCTTCCTTCGGATAGGAAGTAAAGTCGTTGGTCCCCGGTTCATGAGTTGATGGGTCGATAGGGTAGGGTCCAGGTGTGGGAGCTGCCTTCCTGGCACGTCGGTAGCATTGGTGCTCAGCACGGAAAACAAGATCGACGGAAAAAACAAACCGAAAGAAAAAAAAAAAAAATATGATCTTTCGACCAGTACACTCATCTGCACCCTTACCTTTGAAAGGAAATAAGATGAGTGCCTACCTTGTTTCATCGACCGAATAGCCTCGATCGAACTGAAACTAATCGAGAAGATGAAGTAATGGTCTGCGGGCATGTTGGAAATCATCCCCAATGCGAAGTTGATTGCTGCCAGCTCAGCAACAAAAACGGAACAAGGTTCCTGGAGTTTGCGGAAGGCGCTAGAGTTTGATATTCGTTCTAGATATTGCTAGATATTGAATTCGTTCCAATTTTATTAGGTGACATTTTCTTGCCGAGAGAAAGCCGCAAGAGCCGTACTCTAGAACAGAGAGAATTGTTGTTTTATAAAGCGTTATGAGGTCACCTGGATGAGCACCCCACCATGTGCCGCAAATTGAACGGAGAAAGTTTATCCTCTGTTGACATGTTTGCTTAAAATACGTAATATCTTGAATGTGATATGGCCGTAGACCGGATTTACTACTACTTGAAAATACGTCTTAGCTTGATGAGAGACAAACTTGGAATGGCATTTTATTTCAGACTATGAGAATACATTTATTTGTAGGTTGCTTCGATTATTCGTCGCTTGCTAGGTTTCTACCTCCAACACTCCTCCTCGACGAAAGAATCATGGCTGCATCTAGAAACCGCGTTTGCTTGATACGTTGAAGAGGCTTCGTCATCATGTCTGCAATCATTTCGTTTGTTTGAAGGTACTGTGGACTGATGATTCCTTGCTCCTTCAGTTGACGCGCATAGTGGTACTTCGTGTCAACATGCTTCGAACGTTGCTCGCTGGAGTTGGATTCGAGCTGCTTGATGGCGCTCTGGTTGTCCTCGTTCACAGTAACCGGAAACTTGGTGTGGATTCCCAGATCGTCGAATAGTCGTAATATCCAGCATAACTCCTTGCAGCTCTCCGTTATAGCAACGTACTCGGCTTCCGAACTGCTCAATGTTACGCAATCTTGTTTCCTGGAACACCATCCAATCATACCACCTGCATACCGGATCAGGTAGCATCTACGTACACCTCCAATTGCGTGGAATCGGCTCCCAGGATTAGCTCGTGGTCAATAGTACCTTTTAAGTACCTCAGGATACGCTTCGCCTCCACCCAATCAACCTGGGATGGCTACTAGTTTTTCTCCCCAGGATTGAAACAGCTGCTGCAACATCAGGTCGAGTACACATGGCCACGTACAACAATCCACCAATCAAGCTGGCATACTGATGGTTATTGGGCAGCGGGATCTCCTCCTTTGGATGTAGGTGGCCTGGGTCCAATGGTATAGCGGATGGCTTCGCGTTTTCCAAACCGAATCTGGTCAGAGGCTTCTGGATGTAGGCTCTCTGACTTAGTGCAACGTGTTTCCCGGAACGGAAGACCTGGATACCAAGGAAGTGCTGGGCATCCCCGAGCGACGTCACCGTGAAATATTGGTTCAGCTCATTAACGATGGCCTTGTAGTCGTTTTCAGTCTCGCATGCTATAATGAAATCGTCAACATATACAGCAATATAAGCAATTTTACCTCTTTTTTTTTTTTTTTTTTTTTTTTTTTAACTCTTTATTTGTTCCAAATTCAAAATAAATTACATTTCATTTTAACCTAGGTGCTCCAGTTACTGCAGTAACGTACCAGCCTTAATTGTTATGATATATATCTAAGTGTTTTTACATTGTTCATGTCTTGGCAATTCAGTATTTTAAACAGGTTTTTTAACCTGCATGTCAGTATAACAATTGATATCTTAAAACTAAAAACTAAAACTAAATCTTATCTAAGTATAAAGGGAATTAATCGTTGCAATTGAGGATTGCAACGATTTTTGCCTGAAATTATTAATTATTTTGTTGGACATTTGTGCTAAAGTCTCAACATTCGAAATTCTATGTACTTCGGTTGTACTGTACCAGGGAGGCAACTTCAAAATCATTTTCAGAATTTTGTTCTGAATCCTTTGAAGTGCTTTTTTCCTGGTAGTGCAACAACTAGACCATATTGGCACAGCGTAAAGCATGGCCGGTCTAAAAACTTGTTTAAATATTAGAAGTTTATTCGTCAGGCAAAGTTTGGATTTCCTGTTTATAAGAGGATACAAACATTTAATATATTTGTTACATTTGGCTTGAATGCCCTCAATGTGATCTTTAAAAGTTAATTTTTGGTCAAGTATTAATCCAAGATATTTCACTTGGTTTGACCAGGAAATTGGAACTCCGTTCATAGTGACTATGTGACTACTACTAGGTTTCAAAAACGAAGCTCTAGGCTTATGTGGAAATATTATAAGTTGAGTTTTGGAAGCGTTGGGAGAAATCTTCCATTTTTGTAAATAAGAAGAGAAAATATCTAAACTTTTCTGCAGTCTGCTGCAAATAACACGAAGACTTCTTCCTTTAGCGGAAATGCCTGTGTCATCAGCGAACAAAGATTTGTGGCAACCCTGAGGCAAATCAGGGAGGTCCGAAGTGAAAATGTTATACAATATAGGCCCAAGAATGCTACCCTGAGGAACTCCTGCTCTAACAGGTAGTTGATTAGATTTGGAATTTTGATAATTTACCTGCAGAGTTCTGTCAGTTAAATAATTTTGAACTAATTTCATAATATAAAGTGGAAAATTAAACTTTTTCAATTTAGCAATCAAACCTTCATGCCAAACACTGTCGAATGCTTTTTCTATGTCTAGAAGAGCAACTCCAGTCGAGTGGCCTTCAGATTTGTTTGAACGAATTAAATTGTTAACTCTTAAGAGTTGATGAGTAGTTGAATGCCCATGGCGAAATCCAAACTACTCATCTGCAAAAATTGAGTTCGTATTGATGTGAAGCATCATTCTATTCAAAATTATCTTTTCAAAAAGTTTACTTATTGAAGAAAGCAAACTTATTGGGCGGTAGCTAGAAGCTTCAGCTGGATTTTTATCCGGCTTCAAAATTGGAACAACTTTTGCATTTTTCCATTTATCAGGAAAGTATGCCAAATGGAAACATCTGTTAAATAATTTTACCAAGAAAGACAAGGTACTCTCTGGGAGTTTTTTGATGAGGATATAGAAAATTCCATCATCACCTGGAGCTTTCATATTTTGAAAATTTATAGTTATAGACCTTACTTCGTCCAAATCAGTCCCCCAGGAATCATCAAAAATATTTTCCCGAGAGAAAATATTCAGAA